CAACATGAGCTTGCTGATTTCCTTGATTTTTGAATAGCAATTTTCTACATTCTTTAATCAAGTGCCCAGGCTTCTTGCAGTAATTGCATATTATTCCTTTGTCAAATTGACCCGTACAAGACATTTTTTTTGCTTTTTTTTGCTTGTTATTTTTATGAGAATGTAATTAAGTTCAAAATTGAGATATCCAATGAAAACTTACAGCAGCCCGTTTATGGACTCCAGACAGAATAAAAGCTCCTGCGTATGTCACCTATTGCTTGGGCAATTTGCTTGGGCTTTGAGTGCTACTCCAGACATAAGCCCGATTCGAGACCGAAAGAATAAACAAAAGAGCCTGCGTATGTCCAGACCGTAGACCCCAGCGACGTAAGAATCTGGGGCTAACTGAACTGAGTTTCTGAAAAAAGAAACTAGCAACTAATTGGTTTTCTGGAAAGTAGCAGCTAATTGATTTTCTGGATTAAGAATCTGGTTCTAGGGTCTTTTGATGTTCTGGAATAAGAGTCTGGATAGAGGTTCTGTAGAAGTGAGTTTCTTGGAGACAGAAGGGTGTGTAAGGTTCTGGAGTTAACTCAGGTTCTGGGAGGTTCTGGGAAGAGGTTCTAGGAAGGGTAAGAGGTTCTTAAGGTTCTGGACTGAAATCAGCTCTTGGAGAAAGAACCTGGAATCTAAACTGAGATATGAATGAATAAACTGAAGTCTGAAACTAAACTGAAATGAATGGCTCTGATCATATGTTGAAATACAAACTAGAATAATATTGAAAAGTGGAGGAAAGATTTTCTGTTTTTTTCATTAGTGGGTTAAGGCCCTATATATATTACAAAGATGGAATATTCCTATATAAGATGCTATACAATAATAATGTCTAGAGTATATTCCTAAAGCATATTCTAGAGCATATTCCTAAAGCATATTCTTAGATACAATAATACTTTCACATGGAGTATAGGGAACAATTTGAGTTGATGGTGGCACCCTTGAAACATACTGATTTGAAAATACTCAAGGGAATCTTTATGAAGGGTTTGAAAGATGAAATAAAGGCTGAATTAAGGTTATATCCACTCAGAACTCTTGCAGAATTGATGGATGAGGCTTTGCTAGTTGAACAGAGGAATCAAACTCTGAGATCTGCCAAAAATAAGGAAGAAGATAGAAGAGGAATGAAAGAGAAAGGGTATACTTCATTACAGAATCACAAATGGATGGATGAAAATAAGTTGAAGAGCAGTATGAACAACCAGTCCAGTCAAGGGAAACCTGCAATGGAAAAGAAAATGGAGAGAAAATAAAGTGCCTGGAATAAGGAGTACACACAGATGATCTCAATCTGAGTTACAAGAATTGAGCAGAAAAGGTCTATGTTTTAAGTGTGGTGAAAAATGGGGTAGAGATCACATCTGTAAGATGAAACACTTTCAGATCATCATGTTGGATGAATCTGAAGAGGAGGAGGATGTATTGGGCAATAATGTTACAGAACATGCTTCACCACCGGAAGAAACAGACCTGAGTAATATGCAGTTATCCCTTATGAGCAAAGAAGGGATCACAACTCCTAAGACTTTTAAAGTGAAGGGGAAGTTAAGGAGTAACAAAGGAAATAAAACCATCATAATTCTGATTGATTGTGGGGCTACACACAATTTTACATCTCATAAGGTAGTCCAAGCAGCAGGATTACCTGTTCTCCAGATTCCAGAATTCAAGGTGGAGATAGGGAATGGAGACATAATCAGAAACAATAGGAGATGTGAAGCTGTTTCTCTTAACATTCAACAAATTGACATCATTCAAGACTTCTATGTCTTAGAATTGGGAGAAACAGAGATGGTTTTGGGACTGGAATGGTTAGCAAGTTTGGGAACTGTTGAACTCAATTTCAATCAACTAACTATCAAATGGAAGGAGAAGGGTAAAGTAATGAAGCTTCAGGGAGATACCAAACAGAAATCAGGCCTCTTTCAAATCCATCATTAAGACTATGCAAGAGCAGAGAGCAGTTACAGAAAACAAGGTGGAAGAAGGAAAAGAAAAACTCTGGATGCAAGAAATGATCACACAATTTGCTGAGGTATTCCAACCCCAATTGGTTTACCTCCAAAAAGAGAATGTGACCCTGCCATTACTATAAAAGAAGGTGAAAATCCTCCAAACATTAGACCCTATAGATACCCTCAATACCAGAAGAATGAGATAGAAAAGATTGTGCAGGAGTTGTTAAAGACATGCATTATCAGGCCTAGTACCAGTCCCTATAGTAGTCCAGTACTAATGGTGAAGAAAAAGGATGGGGGTGGAGGTTTTGTGGAGATTACTGAGCCGTAAATAGAATCACAGTTCCTGACAAATTCCCTATTCCAATGATAGAAGAACTCTTGGATGAATTGGGGGGAGCACAAATTTTCTCTAAATTGGATTTGAAATCCGGCTACCATCAAATCAGGGTGAAAGAAGAAGATATTCACAAAACAGCTATTAGTGTAGAAGAATCCAGAAATCATTAATTTATAACATTATAATTTCAGTTATAACCGTTACATATCTTTGTACTTAGTATTATAATTATTACTATAGGCTTCCAATGACTGTATAAATACCAATATATGCCTGAGAATAAAGTATGCAATTCAGTCTACAATTCTCCTTTCCTCTAAACTCTATTATGGTATCAGAGCCGTAAGAGCTCTCACCAACCCCTCTACCCATGGCTAACGAAGAAAATACAGCCAGACAGACAGAGAATCTCCAGGAACAAGGAGACCTCGAAAATCCACTTGCTAAAACCCTGCCTACCTCTTCCAATAACCCTTTGACTCCTGATGGGCTCATAATGCTTAACCCCAGTCAATTCCCAGAAAAGTTAGACGGTTCTAATTACCTAGTTTGGCGTGACCATGTTCTTGACCTCCTATTTGGGTCAGACCTGAGCCAGTATATCGAGGAAGAGAGTACACTGCCGCCAGAAAGTGATGCAATCGGCCGTCTCAGATGGAATCAACAGGACAGACTCCTTCGCCACGCCCTAGTCTCCTCCTTTAGCTCTGCTTGCAAACCACTAATTGGCTCTACACGCACTTCTGCTGATGTCTAGAAGACACTTGAGCGGCTCTATAGGACTCGGTCACCTTCTGCAATTCGAAATCTCAAAGACCAGTTCCGACACATGCAGTAGGGAGATCAAACAGTGGGGGAGTACCTTCACAAACTCCGGACCCTAGCGGACGAACTCGCGCTGGCAGGACGACCGGTGGACGGTGATGATTTTCTCATTCAGGCTCTGGAAGGACTTCGGCCAGAGTTCAAATCAATCGCAAACTCCATTCAGACTTCAGGCGACACCCGATTCGGAGCCATCCATACACTGCTCGTAGGGTTCGAAGACAAGCTTCGACGGAAGGAGACGCAGAACTCTAGTCCGGTGTTGACCGCTAATTCGGCTGTCGCGGAAACGGGAGATCCTCTTGCGTTGGCTGTTCGAAGGAAGACCGGTAGTGCATGAGGTGATCAGCCCCAAAACCCTTCTATATTGGGCCCATGACCAGCCCAACAATTTCAGAGACAATTTAACAACAACCGGAGTTATAATCGGAACCAGGGGCCCAATAATTTCCATAACCCAAACCCAAACCGACGTGGAAATAGTAATCCCGGGGGTAATAATTTGGGAGGTAGAAACAATTTCAGGAGCAATAATAATTCTAGAGGTGCCATTATATGTCAAATTTGTGGCAAACCGAATCATCTTGCTCTTAACTGTTGGCACCGATTTGAACAACAAAATTACCCTCCTCAAGCCAATACTGTGGTGAACAATAGAAATGGATGGTTGCTTGACTCTGGAGCCTCGAATCATGTCACCAATAATCTCAATAACCTCACCCTGGCCTCAGATTAGACTGTCACAGACTCCCTCGTTATTGGTAACGGTAAAGGTCTTGCGATTGCACAAGTTGGAAATATGAATATTCATTCTCTTTCCTTACCTAATACTCTTTTTGTTCCTTTAATTCATACTAATTTAATATCTGTTGCCAAATTATGTCGTGATAACGATGTGCTAATTGAATTTCACCCCTCTTTCTGTTTTGTAAAGGACCGGCGAACGGGAGCAATTTTATTACGGGGTATGAATAATGGGGATGTCTACAGTCTGCCGGATGTACCGATTGCTTCATCTTTATGTGCTAATGTTACTACAAAATATTCTCTTAATAAATGGCATTGCCGTTTAGGTCACCCTGCTCTTCCTATAACTCAAAAAGTTATTTCTTCATTTGGTGTTTCATTTAAAAATGTTACTAAGGACATCTCTTTATGCACTTCATGTGCAAGTAATAAAAGTCACAAGTTACCTTTTGCTAAATCTTCACTTTCCAGTTCTGGCCCTCTTAACCTGATTTTTACAGATGTTTGGGGTCCTTCTCGCATTACTTCTGTAGATGGTTTTCGTTACTATGTTATTTTTGTTGATCACTATACAAAATACATTTGGTTTTATCTCATCAACCATAAGTTTGAAGTAACATCAATTTTTCAACAATTTAAGAAAATTGTAGAAAACTTTTTTCAAAAAAATATTAAAATGGTTTACTCTGATGGAGGCGGTGATTATGTCACCCTAGGGAAATTCCTAAATTCATGTGGTATTTCCCATTTAATAACCCCTCCCTATACTCCGGAACATAATGGTTTCGCTGAACGACGACATCGTCATATTGTTGAAACAGGGATCACTTTACTTCATCATGCATCCATGCCATTTAAATATTGGTCTTATGCTTTTCAAACTGCAGTGTATCTCATTAATAGACAACCTGCAACATCTCTCAATTTCTGCACTCCATTTGAAAAGCTTTTTAAAAAACCACCTCATTACACAAAACTTGCTATTTTTGGGTGTCAATGCTTTCCGTGGTTGCGTCCTTACACAACCCACAAATTAGAACCTCGGTCCAAACCATGTATTTTTCTAGGGTATTGTGATCAGCAAAGTGCATATCGATGTCTTGACCCAGCTACCCATCGTATTTTTATTAGCAGGCATGTAATATTTAACGAGTCTGTTTTTCCCTTCTCTCAGACCGCGACGCCCGTTACTAATCTCTCCTCGGAGATTGATAACTGGCTTCAACCACCTATTTCTTATCTTCCTCTTTCAGGTACACCAGCGGCAAAGGCATCTCATATTTCTCATACCCCGACTCAGCAAAGCATCCCTGATACTTCAATCTCTACCTCTAATACGTCGCCCCCTACACCCCCACCTCCACCTGCTATCATCACCTATCAACGTCGGCCTAAGCAAAAACCATCTACCCCACTGTTACCTCAAACTTCACTTAATGAACCACCCATTATCACCCCAACCAATTCCCCTCCCAAACGTACTCATCCTATGACCCTTCGTCCTCGTAAACAAGCTAATCTCGTCACTCAATCCGCCTTACCTCATCATATTATTCCTACTTGTGCTTCTCAGGCCTTACAGGTACCAGAATGGAAGGCTGCTATGTCAGTAGAATTTGAGGCCTTGGTTAAACAGGGAACTTTGGATCTTGTTCCAACTTGTCCTGGTCAAATTGTTGTTGGTTGCAAATGGGTTTATATTGTGAAGTACAAGCCGGATGGTTCCTTGGATCGTTTCAAAGCTCGGTTGGTTGCTAAGGGCTTTCATCAACGCCCAGGAGTTGATTATTCTGAGACTTTCAGCCCAGTAATCAAACCGGTCACTATTCGGGTTGTCTTGACTATTGCCCTTTCTCATGGTTGGCAGATCAATCAACTTGATGTTAATAATGCCTTTTTGCATGGGACTCTACACGAGGAAGTATACATGAAACAACATCTTGGTTTCAATGATGGTTCCGGGTCTGTTTGTCGTCTTCTTAAATCTATCTATGGTCTCAAACAAGCACCCCGGGTGTGGTATCAATCTTTGAGTGGGTTTCTTCTTTCCTTTGGATTTCATCAATCTGTGTCGGATGCGAGTCTCTTCATACTCTCTTCACATCAATCTTATATCTATGTATTGGTGTATGTGGATGATATTATTGTTACTGGATCCACTCCTACTTTGGTTCGTCGGACTATTGATTCATTAGCGCAAAAATTCTCTATTAAGGATTTGGGATCCTTACATTATTTTCTAGGCATGTAGGTCACTCCGACGCAGGATGGGCTCTTTCTTGACCAACACAAATACATTACCGATTTATTGCATGTGTTGAAAATGGATGAAGCTAAACCAGTCTCCACACCATTGGCTTCCTCGGCATCCTTAACCTTGTTTGATAGTTCGGGGTCTTGCGATGTATCTCTCTATCGTCAAGTGATTGGATCACTTCAATATTTGAGTCTCACAAGACCAGATGTTGCCTTCACTGTCAACAAACTTGCTCAATTTATGCACAAACCGACGGTTACTCATTGGCAGCATATCAAATGCCTATTACGGTACCTTTAAGGCACTAATTCTTATGGTCTCTATCTCCGCCGCAGTTCATCTCTTTCTCTACGTGCTTATGCCGATGCAGACTGGGCAGGCAATCCCGATGATCGCTCCTCAACTAGCGCATATGACATTTTTCTTGGTGAATCACTTGTTTCATGGAAGTCCATTAAACAATGAACCATTGCTAAATCATCTAGAGAAGCGGAGTATCGGGCTCTCTCTACTGCCGCATCAGAAATTCTTTGGATCGAGTCTTTTCTTCATGAACTCCGACATCCGCCTCCCTCTTCCTCGCTCCTACTTTGTGATAACAAAGGCGCTACAACTTCTTCAACAAATCCGATTTTTCATTCTAGGATGAAGCATGTTGCCATCGATTTTCATTTTGTCCGACAACGTGTCAACGTGGGCTTCTTCGTGTTCTTCACATCTCTCATGATCAGTTAGCTGATGCTCTTACCAAACCACTCTCAAGGCAACGTTTTACCCTACTCAGAGACAAGCTCAGGATTCTTGGGAGTGACAGAATACCTGGCTTGCGGGGGCGTGTAGAAGAATCCAGAAAACACTAATTTATAATATTATAATTTCAGTTATAACTGTTACATATCTTTGTAATTAGTATTATAATTATTACTATAGGCTCCCAATGACTGTATAAATACCAATATATGCCTGAGAATAAAGTATGCAATTCAGTCTACAATTCTCCTTTCCTCTAAACTCTATTAATTAGAACCCATGAAGGCCACTATGAATAAATAGTTATGCCTTTTGGTCTCACCAATGCTCTTTCTACATTTCAAGCTTTGATGAACAGGGTGTTGAGACCATATTTGAGGAAGTTTGTGTTTTTTTTTTTATGATATCTTGATCAAGAGCCAAACAGAGGAGGAACACATTGAGCATGTTAAGAAAGTGATGCAAACATTGAAAGATAATCAATTGGTGGTCATTAAAAAATGTGAATTTGGACAAGAAAAGTTGGCCTATTTAGGCCATATTATATCTGGAGTAGGTGTGGAGGCAGATCCGAGTAAGGTGCAGGATATGTTAGACTGGGAAAGACCTAATAATGCTAAAGGATTGAGGGGATTCTTGGGACTCATAGGTTATTACAGAAGGTTTGTTAAGGGGTATGGGAAGATAACAGCACCCCTCAACAACCTACTGAAGAAGGATAGATTCCACCAGACACAGGAAGCAATGGATGCCTTTGAAGAACTGAAACAAGCTATGACCAGACTGCCAGTTCTACAAATTCCATATTTCCACAAAACTTTTGTTATAGAAGCGGATGCTTCGGGAAAAGGAGTTGGGGCAGTGTTAATGCAGGAGGGGAGACCTGTAGCTTATATGAGCAAAACTTTATCAACCAGGAATCAGAACAAATCAGTTTATGAGAGAGAACTGATGGCAATTGTTTTGGCAATACAGATATGGAGATCTTATTTGTTGGGAAGAAGATTTGAGGTGCACATCGTTGAAGAGAAGAGACCACATCACTAGACAATATATGTGATTTGGTTGTTTCGAAATCAGTCATAAGACCAACCAGAAAGCTCATGACCGCCATTTGTTCTCGTTGTTTCTGCTGCACTTTGATATCAGGACTAAATGGGATTAATGTATTAAGCTCTTCATATGTTTTCTTGAAATCCATAAAATAAGCCGTGAGAGGCTTATCTTTCATTTCTGCTCTGTAAAAGGCTTTGCACACCTCATAGATGTGATTAAGATTACCTTTGCCTGAATACATAAATTCCAAATAATCAAACAGTTCTTTCACTGAATCACAATGACTAACATACCCCATGACGTCGTTCTCCATGGAGTTTTGAATCTGGATAAATAATCTAGAATCATCACGAAACCAGGCATCATTAGCAGCTCTATCAGCCTCCTCCTTTGGCGGGTCATCAACTAAGTGGGTATATTTATCAATGCTTCTTAAATATCGTTTGATAGTTTTACTTCATTCAAGATAATTGGAGTCACAAAGTTTATTCTGAGTAATTTTAAAATTAATGAAATAACTTCAGAAACTATCAAATATCGATTTTGTGTTACTACGGAAGAGTCAGCGTCAGAACCAACCATTTTTTTGTTTTTTTTTTGTTTTTTTATACTTTTTTTTTAATAAAACAAGATATGAAGTGAACTTACGGGCCTTTCTTTTCATCGTATAGACAAACGTTTACCGTAGAAAGAAGGCTTCCAATATTGTAACGAAGTGTACCTGGATAGCACTAGAGGACACTCCGGCGAGTCTGGCGACAGTCACCGGTCGAAGCTCCGGCCAGAAATACGCCCTCACGCGCCAGCGCGTGAGTAGGATGCGAGAACCTCAGGCGGCGCGTGTAGCTCACACGCAGTGATTTGGACCTACGGATTTCAGTTTTCTGGTCGCCGGCGGAAGGCGCACCAGCATAGGGTGGAGGTGAGATAGGCTCTGGACTAAGGTTCTAAAGTTGGTGTCGGCAAATGTTCTCTGAACAGAGGTTCCGAACGAAAAGAGAAAAAAAAAATGGTAACTAAAATGGAATAGAATAGAGTTTCTGGGATGGGAGGTTCTGGGATTGGATGTTCTGGGAAATTCATTTACAAGAAGTACATAAGCTATTTATACAGATAGGAATCCTGAGAGAGTCTATTCAGCACCCTAGGTGACTGTCTAAATACTAAACATAAATGATTGAGAACTGAAAAGACAGCAGCTATTAAATACAACCTGAAGCACTAAAGACACATAATTACAGTAATAATATGGAAAATAAATCCTAGATTAATGATGTCTCTTCGTTTTATCAACACTCTGGACTAAGGTTCTAAAGTTGGTGTCGGCAAATGTTCTCTGAACAGAGGTTCCGAACGAAAAGAGAAAAAAAAATGGTAACTAAAATGGAATAGAATAGAGTTTCTGGGATGGGAGGTTCTGGGATTGGATGTTCTGGGAAAACAAAATAATAATAATAACTTACAGAGAAGCTAAAATTTCTGGACTAATGTTCTATGAGTCTATGATACCATGTTGTCAGAATTAAAGATAGAATAGTAATGAGAAGAGAATGATTTTCTGTGTATTTCATTGGAGGGTTAACTCCTTATATATACATTAGAAAGATAGAATATTCCTTTAAGATTCTATACAATAATAATATCCTAGAGTATATTCCTAAAATATTCTAAAGCATATTCTAAATTTTGAGGAATATTCTAAATCATATTCTAATGTCTTTCACACTTCTCATGAAATGGCCTTAGCGATGGTTTTTTGTTTTCAGGTGAAGCTGTTTATGTAGATGATATTCCATCTCCACTGGACTGTCTATATGGAGCATTCATTTATAGTACACGACCTTTTGCAAGGGTAAAGGGCATCAGTTTTAAGTCTAATTTACTACCAAATGGGGTTGTCGATGTTATCACTTTCAAAGATGTCCCTAGCCGAGGGGAAAATATAGGGTCCAAAACCATGTTTGGCCCAGAACCTCTATTTGCTGATAATTTTACCAGATGTGCGGGTGATCGAATTGCTTTTGTGGTGAGCCATATTTTCCTTCCCCTTAATTTTTTTCCATCAAAGGTTGAGTTTCTGCGATATCTACTTCATATTAAGAATCTCACATTGAAAGATTTAAGAGGGATAGATGTACTTATAAGGTCTTGGGTTAAACCAACTAGGCTAGGCGCATTATGACCCAGTTTAGTGACAGCGGTCCTGTTATTAATTCTCTAACTTAACAAGCATTTCTTCATGAGAAAACTGTCTAAAAGACATTAAGTCTAATTTACTACCAAATGGGGTTGTCGATGTTATCACTTTCAAAGATGTCCATAGCCGAGGGGAAAATATAGGGTCTAAAACCATGTTTGGCCCAGAACCTCTATTTGCTGATAATTTTACCAGATGTGCGGGTGATCGAATTACTTTTGTGGTGAGCCATATTTTCCTTCCCCTTATTTATTTTCCATCAAAGGTTGAGTTTCTGCAATATCTACTTCATATTAAGAATCTCACATTGAAAGATTTAAGAGGGATAGATGTACTTATAAGGTCTTGGATTAAACCAACTAGGCTAGGCGCATTATGACCCAGTTTAGTGACAGCGGTCCTGTTATTAATTTTCTAACTTAACAAGCATTTCTTCATGAGAAAACTGTCTAAAAGACATATTAAGCTGTATTATTGTGTCAACTATGCACTTTTTACTTCACCAGGTTGCAGACAGTCAAAAGCATGCAAATGCAGCAGCAGACATGGCTATTGTTGAGTATGATATTGAAAACTTGGATCCTCCTATCTTAACAGTTGAGGATGCTGTTAAAAAATCAAGCTTTTTTGAAGTCCCTTCAATCATATCCCCAAAAGGTGTTGGTGATTTTTCTAAAGCAATGGCCGAATCAGAGCACAAGATTATCTCAGCAAAGGTAGTGATTTCTATTATTCTGTCTGTCTAACTTTATTCATCGGTCAGATCATATTATCTTTCTTAACTTATTTTCTCTAATGTTCTTTAATCATTTTCATGTCATCACTAATTTTATTGTACTTCTTTAAATATTATAAGAAAAATGAATTATTTCCATCATTTGCAATGGAGCCAAAGACTGACTATTTTTTGGCTTGGGAATATGATGGGATAAAGCAAAATGATTTACTAAACTGTGTGCGCTTCTTTGTTATGAAGTAGCAGTCAGTCCACGCAATTCTCGACGCAATTTTCATTGTGTCATCCGGAAATAGTCTCTCTATGCTTTAGTACGGGGGTAAGGGGTAAGACTGCGAACATCCGACCCCCCTTACCCCACCGAAGGTGTGGGAGCCTTTGCGGAACTGGGGTAATGATGATGATGAAGAAAAATGAATTGAAAAAAATCTACAGTCTTGCCACGTTGCACAGGTAAGGTACCTAAAATGGGAAGGACAAAGTATCAAATTTTCTCCAAAAAGTTTATCGTGCACTACTTTTTAACTCGTGACATACATTAAGAAACACTGTAAAATGACCACTTACCCAAAGTCTAGTTATAAACGTCTTGTTGTTCCCAATACAACTACAAAAGTATTTATGCAGGGAACTTCACACATTAAGGATTCTTATAAAGTGCCCAACATGCACGTATTCAACTTTAGTCATACTATGTACATCCCTTTTTGTTCCCAATAGAATACATACTAATGGTTTTTTTGTGAGAGTAATGTCAGTTATTATTGGACAACTTTAGCATACTACGTACATCCCTTTTTGAGCAATTTTTAATTCCTGAAATTGTCAGTTATTGTAGCTTTGAAGAATTAATCTTCCTTGAATATTATTGAGCCATCCGGCAATGATATATATACAAGTTACAGATAAAGTCTAGTTGTTACAGATCCTAAAATATAGGATCTATCTATTCTATCTATTCTGCAAGCTTATCTACTTATTAGAGAGTTCTATCTACTCTAATTCTTATCTATACAGTCCCGGATGTACAAATAATTAAAATAACAAGTATATGTTACATTTTTCTACACTCCCCCTCATGTTACAATCCCTGCCTCTTTATGAATTGAGTAAACCTTTCAAACCAAGCCCTTGGAGACTGTTTAAGTCCATATAAGGCTTTCTCCAGCTTGCACACCTTTGAGTCATATTGTTCCTCAAATCCAGGAGGGGGGCTCATGTATACTTCCTCTTCAAGCTTCCCATTTAAGAAAGCATTCTTCACATCTAACTGTTGAAGAGGCTAGTCTAGGTTAGCAGCTAGAGATAGAAGGATCCTTATAGTATTTAATTTTGCAACTGGAGCAAAAGTTTCTATATAATCTATGCCATAGGTTTGTGTATATCCTTTGGCAACCAATCTGGCCTTATATCTTTCAAGTGTACCATCTGCCTTGAATTTAGGGGTAAATACCCATTTGCATCCCACTGTTGGTTTGTTCTTGGGTAATCCCACAACCTGCCATGTCTGATTCTTTTCAAGAGCATTCATTTCTTCTAAAACAGCCTTCTTCCACTCAGGTTTAGATAGAGTTTCCTGTATGGTTAAGGGAATAGAAACAGTGGAAAGGCTAGAGGTAAAGGCTGCAAATGATGCATATAACTGAGAATAGGACAAATAATTTGATATAGGATATTTAACACATGATCTTTTTTCTTTTCTGAGAGCAATGGGTAGATTTAGATCACTGGAATTATTACCTTTGTCATTTTCTGACATTGAGTCAGATTCATGGGCAGTGGCAGGATCAGGGATGTCCTCTATTCTTTGATTTGGAACTCTCCTTTCATAAACATTGCCAAAAAATTTACTTATCTGCTGTTCATCATCTTTCCTTGTCTCAGAAAGTTTTATTTCATTTTCTTGACTATTTTCTAGTGCATCTAACTGTCTATTATATTGTGCATCTAGACTAATGTCAAGAGATTCAAGTTTTTCATGGATATGTGACACTGGTTTCTACCATTGTTTAAACCGAGCTCTGATACCATGTAGGTTTGAAGAATTAATCTTCCTTGAATATTATTGAGCCATCCGGCAATGATATATATACAAGTTACAGATAAAGTCTAGTTGTTACAGATCCTAAAATATAGGATCTATCTATTCTATCTATTCTGCGAGCTTATCTACTAATTAGAGAGTTCTATCTACTCTAATTCTTATCTATACAGTCCCGGATGTACAAATAATTAAAATAACAAGTATATGTTACATTTTTCTACAGTTATTTTTGGACAACTTTTTTTGGCTAAACCTACTGTTGTATTGGGATGGATAGAGACATAGAGTCGTATATTTTTATTTACTTCTATCATGTGCAGATTAGTCTCGGGTCACAATACTACTTCTATATGGAGACACAGACTTCTCTAGCAGTTCCAGATGAAGACAATTGCATGCTTGTCTATAGTTCAAGTCAGTGCCCAGAATCTGCACAAAGCGTGATTGCCAGCTGCTTGGGTGTTCCTGAGCATAATATCCGGGTGATTACAAGAAGGGTTGGAGGAGGCTTTGGTGGCAAGGCAGTTAGAGCTATGCCTGTGAGTTTGAAAACCACCATTCACATTAACAATTTCTTTTACATCTTGATTTTTGAAAAGGAAAAAAAAACTTGTACAAGTTATATTCTATTTTTTTCTCACGTTGTTCTTTGTTTATGCCCAATTTTTTTTTTATACTTTCTAATTTATTTTCAAAACATCAATACACTTTTTCCCATATTAGATCACTTTATTTTTTACATGCATGTAGATTTTGTAAATCGTTATATATTAGAAATAAAACATGTTTGGTCTTTGATATACATTTACAAGCGTATCATAAAAATCATATAAATTCGATGCTTTTAAAATGGGGAATAAATTCCACTTTTGTTCTATTTGTATTATACCAATCCCACATTAGATTCATGTCTTTGACCTTGCTTACTTTTTGTACATGCTATTGTTCCTTGCCCACATGTCGTCCTTCAAGAGAAATTTGTTCTGCTTAAAATCGCATAAGAGGTGCTAAAAATTTGGACGGAAGGACTACAGGTGGGCAAGAAACAATAGCCATATAACCAAATGGGGATAAAGCAAAAACACTGACCTAATGTGGGATTAGTATAACACTATTAGAACCAAAAGTGAATATAATTTTTTAAAATACATCTTCAGACTAATCTAACAAGATCCCACATGATAATTACTTAATAAGTAAATAAATCAATATATGGGAAAAGTTCACCAATTTTTACCAATAAAAGGTCATGGACTAAATAATAGACTGGGAGAGGGTGAATTTTTCATCATCAATGCCTGATGTTATAGGTTTCCACAGCATGTGCACTTGCTGCTCACAAATTGAACCGCCCCGTCAGGATATACCTGGATCGGAAGACTGACATGATCATGGCAGGGGGAAGGCATCCCATGAAAGTAACATACACTGTTGGATTTATGTCCAGTGGAAAGATCACGGCCTTACATCTCAACATTCTAATCAATGCGGGGATTACAACAGACATAAGTCCCGTCATACCAATGAACATGATAGGGGCAATTAAGAAATACAATTGGGGTGCCCTCTCTTTTGATGTTAAGGTGTGCAAGACGAACCATTTTAGCAAGTCAGCGATGAGGGGACCCGGTGAGGTACAAGGAAGTTTTATTGCTGAAGCTGTAATGGAACATGTAGCAGCTGTACTCTCAATGAACGTGGATTCTATCAGAACAAAAAACCTTCACACTTTTGAAAGCCTTGATTTATTCTACGGGCATTGTGTGGGTGGGTTAGTGGACTACACTTTGCCAAACATTATGGAGAGATTGAGCAGATCTTCAAACTTGTTAGAAAGAAGTGAGATGATTGAGCGATTCAACCAGGAAAATGCATGGAAGAAAAGGGGCATTTCTAGGGTCCCAGTTGTGATTCACGTTATACACAGACCAACTCCAGCAAAAGTGAGCATTTTGCATGATGGGTCAGTGGTGGTTGAGGTTGGTGGGATTGAATTGGGACAAGGGCTATGGACAAAGGTAAAACAGATGGCTGCTTACGGACTTGGTTTGACTCATTGTGATCACACAGATGTGCTTGTGGATAAAATACGGGTTGTACAGTCAGACACGTTAAGCTTGGTACAAGGCGGTTTTACTGCGGGAAGCACCACATCAGAATCAAGCTGTGAAGCTGTAAGGCTTTGTTGCAACATTTTGGTTGAAAGGCTGAAGCCGGTGAAGGAAAAGTTGCAGGAACAACTAGGGTCAGTTGATTGGACTACACTTGTTCTCCAGGTTGTAGCTTTTTTGACCGCCTAAAACTTGTTACCCCGTAAATTGTGGAGATGGTAGCAGGGCAGGTTATAGTAGGTATAGACAGGAAAACCTGTTCTCGGTTCGTGTATGGGTCGCGTTATAGTGCATTACCTGAGTCCAAAATGTATAAATATTGTCATTTTTTGGGTAAATATTGGGGGTGTTTGCTAAACCCCCTATCAGCCTTTTTTGGCCTTTGACTTTAGCTCTTTGACCAGCTATATCGAACACCCAAAAAGTTAAAAAAGAATTTCGAGTCTAATTTTTCAAAACTCTAACTTTTCTAGTTGTACCGGGATTTTTAACCTCCAATTTTACTTTTCTAATATAACTTTTCTATACAATAATTATAGTTAATAATAAGTATAACAATTTAAAAATAGGAAGGAAATATAATTTTATGCTTTATGTCACTATTGACATTAGTATTATTTTAAAAACAATAAAACTAAGAATAAATAAAATAGTAGTATAGTATTGTAGTTAAACACACACAACAACAACAACATCCAAGCCTTAATCCCAAAAGAATTTTGAGTTAAACACACACTTGTATATTAAAATGATGAAGGGGAGTCTTGTCGCACCGGTAATGGTGTTGCTGTGTGACGGAGAGGTCACAGGTTCAAGTTTGGGGGGTCTCCTCTTGTCAAAATGAAAAGGGAAATGTTGCCCCCTATACACAGTTGTGGTAGGACCCTTCCCTGGACCCTTGCTTTGTGGGGACGCCAATGTGCACCGGGCTGCCCTTTATTTAAATGATACTAGTAGAATTAAAAAAAATAGTGGTAAATGTAGTTTTAAAACCTATTTCTAAATGTGTCTGAAAAAATATTAAAAATGGTCAAACATATAAGTTTATATATTCGTATTACCAGCTAATTGGAAAGAGCTAACTTACCAAATGTGTTACTTCAAAAGGCTAATGATATCGCTTGTCAAAACCACCAATAGAAAAATCCTGTGTTACCAATCAGCCGATAGGATCTAGGATTACAGGCAATGTCATACACATATTAGTGTATATGTATTTAGTTGTAAGGGTACTCAATAATATATATTAGTATATCATACTATCAAAATTTATAAACGGTTTATTTTTGTGTTCGGACTCCCATACCCCTCTGGTAATGTAAAATGGGGTTGGAGTGGGTCGCGATATAAATTTGTTGGTAATGTAAGAGGCTGGGTTTGAGTTTTGCTATGGGCGAAGTTCCTGACCCCACTGAATCTCTGATCAAACGTGGTGTAGCTCACCCAAAAAGATGATCGAGATGTGAGAATTACCTCACCCCCATACCTTGGATGGAAAATTACCATTAAACAACCGATTTGGGATACGGGATACCCGTCCCAAACTAGTATGTGACTATTATTTCTTTTTGCTCCTGACAGGCACATGATGCAGCTGTGAACTTGGGGGTGAATTCATACTATGTTCCGGACTACAATTCCATGAGTTATTTGAATTACGGGGCGGCTGTTAGTGAGGTAATCTCAGTGCCCCCTACTACTACGTTTGTTTTGGTGTACTGAGGAATGCTCATTCTCATAGTCTTATGTGAGCAGGATGGTAGGAATACATTAGAAATCAGGATGCCTACTTGCAAAAGGAGGGGAATTTAAAGCATAACTACGTGTGTTGGCAGTGCAGGTAGAAATAGATGTTCTGACGGGAGAATCCAGAATTATGCGAACAGATATAATATATGATTGTGGACAGAGCTTAAACCCTGCTGTGGATTTGGGACAGGTTACACTCCCCACATTGGATCTCTGTGCATTGCCAAATTTATGTGTACCTCATTCATATTTTCAGGAGACTATTATGCATTCAGTAATACACCTAGATTATTGCAATTAAGGTGTAGGGCAAGTCGGTTTTTAGATCCCTCCGAAGGTATTCTCAAGATGTACGGCATACCCGTCAGATTTAAATGCGTGGATAGCAGTGATGTTTATTAGTACTGAATTTGAATTTCAGTATATGGGGTTGGGGTCCTGTTAAAATTTGGATAAAAAACCGTTGGGGGGGAGTAGTGCAAAAGGAACAGCAAGGGGGATTGGATGCGACAATTGTGTAATAGTTGGAGTGGGTATAATGAAAATAATCATAACCTTATGAATTTAGCATTCAATACGTAGAGCTTCATTGGTTGCAGATTGAAGGAGCATTTGTGCAAGGAGTGGGGTTTTTCATGCTCGAAGAATATGTATCAAACAAGGAGGGGTTGGTGGTTTCTGATGGAACTTGGACATATAAGATCCCAACCATTGACTCTATCCCGCAACAATTCTATGTTGATGTACTCAACAGTGGGCATCACCATAATCGTGTCCTTTCATCTAAAGGTTTGTTCTTTCCTGTCCGTTCCTTCATTAAATGTGGTAGGTTGTTTCTTGCATGTGTGATGGATGGATGATGATACATGTATTTTTGCAATGCAGCCTCAGGAGAGCCACCACTTCTTCTGGCAGCTTCAGTCCACTGTGCAACAAGAGCAGCAATCAAGGCGGCCAGGAAACAGGCCAAAGCTTGGGGCAAGAAGCTACACGACGATGATTACGGCCTTGACTCTCACTTCCATTTGGAGGTTCCTGCCGTCATGCCAGTCGTCAAGACACATTGTGGCTTGGATTACGCTGAGAAGTTCCTCGAATTTTTTCTTGCCCAAAAGCTGTAGAAATAAAAACCTGGATGATTCTTCAAAATCTGTAACTATGCATAGTTATAGATCTATACGTATATAATTATTATTTACTGAAGTTACCTTAAACTGGAGTTGAACCAATCAAGCAACTTTATTCGTTAAAATCGAACTAACAAAGAAGTCAAAGTAATCGATCAATCATGACAACCAATCAATTCGCCTAACATATATAAAATTCTTCATGCATGTTTCTCCTTATTCAATTTCTACATATTATTCTAGGAGAGTGACGTAGTGCAATTAGGTAGGTAGGTCACTACAAGTACAACTTTTATACTAATGGGCTTATAAAAACGCCGCAGCTTATAATAAGACAGCAAGTTACCAAGTCAAAAATTCATACGGAGTACGTATGAATTTTCAAAGATTTTGGTTTCACTTTATAAAAATTGCACGAGAATGCTATTTCAAGATTTTTCCAAAGTTCATAATGTGATATTCCAGGAAACGAAGAGAGGCTAAATTAGATTAGACAACAGGAAAAACTAAATAAAAAATAAAACTAGATAGCCATGTGGTTGATCGGTTATGTTAAGAAAGCATGCATGAATATACGTACATTCAAACTATATATATATATATATATATATATATATATATATATATATATATATATATATATATATATATATATATATATATATATATATATATATATATATATATATATATATATATATATATATATATATATATATATATATATATATATATATATATATATATATAGTGGAGAGTTCAAATACAAAGAGGTCTTCCCATGCAAAGTGAGAATTAATCTCGTGCGTTCATTTTGAGATCTAATGGCTCAAAATGAGCCAAAAGTGAACTAAATTTGATCAAAAACGTGGTGGCAATTTCGTAATTAAAACAAAGTTTTTTGCTATCGCGAAAAAGTGCAACAGAAACACGCAAAAGTGCAACGCGGTGAAGAAAAAGTGCAATTGTTCGCACTTTGCACGGGAGAACCTCTTTTTATTTGATCTCTTCCCTATATATATATATATATATATATATATATATATATGTGTGTGTGTGTGTGTGGGGGGGGGGGGGGGGGGGCGTGCTGGCCAGAATCTTCACAAATGTGATTAAGAAAAGAAGCTGTTATCATCGCGTGACAGAAGGAAGGAAATTTTTGTTTCATCAACTTGAAATTTAATAATAAATGATATAGCTGCATAATAAACGATGTCCGTTGCACTTAGTTGAGCTGTTAAGAGTTAGTTATAGTCAGCTTTGACTTAGTTGTTGAGTCAAATATAATAACTACTATAAATGTACAGTTGAACACATCAATATGAATAACGAAATGCATTCATTCTCTTCCAATCATTACATTCTCTCTTTCCTATCTCAATTTACATTTGTAGACTATGCTAGAACTCTCGAGGATCTCTTTCATTACGTGAGCATCTTCCCGCGTCCTGCATCATTGGTATCAGAGCTTCTAATGGCCTGAAGTAATCCGCTGGCTATTAAAAGTCAACTGAAAATTGAGAATCTGGCACCTTCAAAGACTACTACTGTTCATCAACTCAAGAATATCATGGAGGACAAAATCAACAGTTTGGAGAAGAAATTGGAAGAACAATCTTCAGTTCTTGTGGAAATTATGAAACATTTGAAGGATCAAGAGAAGAAGAAAGGTATTCAAATAGAAGAGGAAGACGAAACTTCTTTAACACCATGTATTCATAATCAAACTACTCACAGACCTTTAGGATTTACTCCTAAGTTGGAATTTCCTACTTTTGACGGGTGTAACCCTAGAATGTGGATGAAAAAGTGTCAAAAGTATTTCAAACTATGTAAAGTTCCTGTTGAACATAGAGTTGATTTGGCAAGCATGTATTTTATGGGAAAGACAGAAGCATGGTTTCATAGCTATCTATGAGTGAAAAAATATGTGGAATGGGAAGAATTAGTTGTGGATATATGTGCTCGTTTCAAAGAAGATATAGGAAGCAATGTAGTGGAAGAATTCAATAAATTGCTTCAAACAGGATGTAGTGGAAGAATTCAATAAATTGCTTCAAACAGGATCTCTGGAAGATTACATAAACTCTTTTGAGAATTTGAAGGCTTAGATGGTTAAGAGGAATCCTCTTCTACCCCGAGACTGTCTTGACAGCTTTATTGGTGGTTTACAGCCTGTCTTGAAATCTTTTGTAAAGGCTTTCAAACCCGAGACTGTTATGGAAGCTGTGGAATATGCTAGACTTCAGGAAGAATCTCAAAATGCTTCCAGACAAATGATCAAACCTCCCTTTCAAAATACAAGAACAATGACAACTTACTCTCAGAAGCGACCATCAACCAAACCTCTGTTACCTACACCTAAAGTACCTCTATTAACTCCACAAACCAGGTCCATCTCTGCTCGAAACCCTCTTCAGAACAGTAACCATGTGGCTGCAGCAACCAGGGCAAAAAAGATAGCAAAAGAACTTTGTTATTTTTGTGATGCTCTATATGACAGAAATCACAAATGTCAATTCAGGAAAACTCAACTTTTCACAGTTGAAGTACCAGGGATAGAAGAAGAAATGGAAAGGGAGGAAGATAGAGAGGAAGAGGAATGCTTGGATATGAGGTTTGAAATGTCAGAAACTGCACCTTGCATTTGTGTAAATGCCTTGGCTGGAACACAAGGTTTTCAAACCATGAGAGTGATTGACTACTTTAACAAAAAGTCAATCCATATTCTTATTGATTCTGGAAGCACTCATAACTGTCTTGATCAAAGTTTAGCAAAGAAGTTGGGTTGTAAGTTGGAAGCAATAAACCCCCAAGCAGTTTCAATGGGTGATGGAAACTTCTTGGCATGTCAGTTCAAGTGTGCAGGATTCACTTGGAAGCTGCAAAATACACTTTTCACTTTTGATGTGCTACTAATTCCTTTAGGAGGATGTGATATGGTTCTGGGAATACAATGGTTGTGTACTTTGGGAACAGTTAAATAGAACTTCAAGCATCTTAAAATGGAGTTCTCATTTAATAATCAATCACATGTATTAAGAGGAATAACTCCCAAGAAACTTAAGGCGATGGGTTCAAATTCAATAATCAAAGATGCAGCTCAAATTTATTTTCTACAGGTTAAAGGGCAATCTCATGAGCAGCACCAAATGATTTCTTGTTGTTCATTACAACAACCAACTGAAAAACCACCTGTATTGAGTGCCCTAATTGAAGAATATGCCTCAGTTTTGGAAGAACCCTCTGGACTACCTCATTGCAGAGGAGTATTTGACCACAGAATACCATTAATGGAAAGAACTCAACCTATAAACATCAGACCTTACAGGTACTCGCTGCAACAAAAGGATATTATTGAACAATTAGTTCAAGAAAAGGAAGAGAGAGGAATTATACAAAACAGCTCCAGCCCCTTAATTTGCTTCACCGGTAGTATTGATTGGTAAGAAAGATGGATCATGGAGGTTTTGTGTAGACTATAGGGAATTTAACAAGAGGACAGTTAAGGATAAGTTCTCCATTCCAGTACTTGATGAACTGATTGATGAGTTAGCTAGTTCCAGGGTGTTTACTAAACTGGATTTGAGAGCGGGGTATCATCAACTAAGGACCGAGAAGTTGCCCGACCCCGACCTCGACCACCGAGGTCGGGAAAATACCAAGCTCAGGAATCGATCAGACTCGACCGGTTATGAGCCCGACCTCGAGACGCCCGAGCTCGGCACGAAGTCTGATCCCGGGAGTCAAACGCATGGTCAGCATGCACCAGGCAGATAACTACCTCAAAGGCGGGAACAAAGGACAAAGGGGCGAGTCCTCTCATCACGAGCCCGAGCTCCCAGATGTCGACCTCAGTAATCTCCAAGGTCTGAATGAAGCGTCGTGGACTTAGACAAAATCCGCAAGGACTTGCCTCACAAAGAGGTGTCGCCACGTCACCATCAACACTAGGGAACATTCCTGGTTACCCACGCGTAGCCACACAGGATCTCTGGCAGCAATCCTGTTAGAAGCAATCCCCAATCAGCCAGCTATTGAATATTCTCTCTCCAATCGGCTTTACACGTGGCTGCTCCCCATCGAGTTAGGCTGTTAGTTTGTTGGAATAGCTTTACACGTGTCCCTCTCCTATTAGTTTAGCATCTTTTTTCTTGGGCACCAAGTATTACCTTTTATCTCCTAGTATAAATATCACCTTCCAACTTGTGGACATGGAGGCTTGCTTGATGCTTGACACTTAATCTATTGCACTCTTAATACTCATATACTGTTATTCTGCCGGATCAAGTACTTGCATTTTCCGATCAGTTCACTCTCCCTTTTACTCTCATTTCAGTTGGATTCCGGCCACTCCTGGTCAGAAAATCCATCATTTTTGGTGCTCTCGTTGAGAGCCGAACTGTGAGCAGGTCAGATCCTCCCGATTCACCTCTGATCTACAACAAGTTTTTCTACAATAATGGTTGGAAAGAAAAATCTGAGAAGTCGACGTGCTGCTGCCGCCTTCGCACACGTGGAGCCCTCGCTGGAAGCTACTGCCACTTCTGGTGCCGGGAGGGCCGCTGGGGGAAAGCAGGTCGCTGAAACTCCTGCGGATCTGCGCAGTCAGATTCAGCTTGCTTCCCCAGATCTCCGTCAACAGATATCGCTCAATCGTGATTCAACGGCAAATCCATTCGCACAGGTGATCCCACAGTTCCAGAATCTTCTGATGGTGGATCCCTCTACAGAGGTTGGCGCCCTCATCTCGGGATTGCAGCAGGTGCTCCCCACGCTGCAATCTCAGACAGCAGCTGTTGTGGCTTCTCATGCCACTAGGCCTATCTCTCTGGCGAATTCCAGATCCCGGTCTCTAAGAGTAGGTTCTATTGATGCTCCTCTGGTGGTGGAGAGACCAGCACAGATGGTCTACCAATCTCCCCCTCGCCAGAGGGTGACTCCGGGGATTAACTCTCCCCCGATCCGCCAGGTGGCTTCTGCAGCACCTGTGAACGCTGCGCCCCTCGCGCAACAAGCGGGGACTTCTCGTCACGTTGGGGCACCACGATAGATGGCACCACCACCACCTCCTGTATTGCCGTCCAAATACACGGCACGCCGTGTTGATCACGGCTGCCACAATGATGAAGGTGTCTATGCTGTCACCA